ACAATATGATTGGTGAGTGCTATGATGATGACTATGAGGTTGATGAGGCTGATGATGATGAGGAGGAGGAGGAGGAGGAAGAAGATGATGGCGATGTGATAACGTTTTTGGTAAGTGCACGATAATTATTGCGGAAGTTGATGAACAAATTTTGACTAGCACTTCATCAACAACTAACAGTTTGATAAATATTTTCTATAGAAATGAAATCACAAATTTGATACTAAGTTGAAGTGAGTAGATGTAATGCTTCAATTGCAAGAAAAATCCACATCCATCCATTACATGCATCTACGATAACGTGGGAAGCATTGAAAAGGATTCGATACATCACATTTCCAGCATTATACATCAGTTAAAATAACTTGAAAAAATAAAAATTGTCATAATATTTAACAATTTCTATGCATGTTTTAATTTTGAACAGACGATCAAATATTTTTTTATGAATGAATTGCAGAATAAGTGGACCAGATGCTTGAATACATCCAACTAATTTGTCTAACAATCAGCCAGCCAACCAATCAAACGATCAATCAACCAGCCAACTAATCAACCAATCAATTATAGAGCCAATCAATCAACTAACCAATCAATCAACCAACCAGCTTGTTGAAATGAACATTTTCCTGACAAACCATTCATCCTAACTCCTTGTGTGCTGATGAATCTTCACAAAAACTTTTCCGTATATCCATGCATACACATACATACGTACATGCACACGCACGCACACATACACACACACACACAAAGAGTGTACAGCACAGTACACTCAAACATCTTCATCATACTTGTTGTACATTTTTGTGCAGGCACATTAAGATAACAATTCCAACTCATATAATTACGATACTGGCCATTTAATGTATACTAACGGCAAAACACCAAAGTTGTATATACCTGCATATATGTAGTAGGCATATGTATATACATATACATGTGTATATACATATGTGTGTGTGTGACTGTGTGTGTGCGTCTGTGTACGTGCGTGCGTGTGTGTGTGTGGCGTACGAGTAAAAACGAGTATGCGTGCAATTATGTTTTATTTATAAGCAAAAAAGCTAAGCGTATTGTGAATAACCATGGTATATAATGATGATTATGATGATAAGGGTGATGATGATGATGATGATGATAATAATGATGATGATGATAAGGATGATGATGAGGAGGTAGAGGATGATGATTGTATGAAACATCTCACCTGATGTGCAATGTAAAGAATGTTTAGCCGGTTTGTTCATCTTCCTTCTGTGCCTTTGTGTTGTGTGTGTGCTATTGTTTCTCTCTCTCTCTCTCTCTCTCACTCTTTCTTTCTCTCTCTCTCTCTCTCTCTCTCTCTCTCTCTCTCTCTGTGTTGTTTTATGTGTTGTCTGTGCGTAATGTTGTTTTGTCTGTGTCAAGGTTGTGTCTGTCTTTTTAAAACAAATGTCAAAGTTGTTTTTGGGTTAGTTGTTTTATGTAACCGGGCTTGTTTTGTTCTTACTTTGGTTGTATCGTTGTTAAATTGTGTTATTTTTTCTGCCGTTTGTGTGTTTACTGCTTGTTATTTGTTAACATATTTTTCTACGTCTGCTTATTGTTTTGTCTGTGTGAGTGCTTTCATATGCGTAATTTTGTTTGTAGTCTAGGTACGTTGCAGTTGCGTGTAGTTGTTTGGGTGTTGAAGTGATGTGTTTGTGTTGCTGCTTTGGAATTTGGAGTTGTGTTTGTATAATTTTTATTATCTACGTATGTTTGTAATTTTTATTTTATTGGCGGGAAATTATTTCAATGGCCATATAAGTTTCTGCACCAACGTATCACAACAACGTAGGACGTTTCAGATAATTAATCTGACATAAAATGATGAGATATATATTTCTCTTTTCATTGAAATAACAAGTAAGACAAAACATAGAAAAATACATTGAGTTAAAAACGGAAAACAAAGCTCCTTTCACTCATGTGTACATTTGTAATACATTCATTCATTCATTTGTTCGTTCGCTCATTTATACATTCCTTTATTCATTCATTCATCCATTCATTGATCCATCCATTCATCTAATCATTTGTTCATCCATCCATTCGTTCATTTATTCATCCTTCCATTCATTTGTTCACGATTACGCTTTATCAGCAACACCAATTTGAGGTGAGCAAACATTCATTCTTCTCTCTTTCTGTTTTCCACTGTTCCGCTCTACTTTTTCTCGTTCTCTCTCTTTCACTTACTTACATTATCTTTTCTTCGTTTTTTCATAATTTTTTCTCTCTTCTTCCTTTAATCCTCCTAGCAACCATCCTTCAATCTCAAGAACAATTCAACAACAACAACAATCAAATAGGCAATTACAATTGCAATGTATATATGCATTGCGTTGCATACATAATCCTGTGTTTATTAGACCAATTAATGCTTCTCCGTGCGCGCCTGTGTGTGTGTTTCTTCTCTTTACAGTGCACTTGTAACCTTATAAGTGCATGGCTTTAATTTATAATGTATTGAAATAAACAGATGAATAAATAATACTTTTATATATTTGTTTATTTATGCGTATGTTAGAAATATAAACAAATGCCTTTACAACTGAATACTTTCCAAATATTTTTGAGCGTCTTCCCTGAAGCAACCTCTTTCCTTAGTTGTCAAATGTTTTGTTTTGTCAGTGATTGAGTGAGCCTTTTTGTTCTAAACTAACAGTGTCAATCAATGTAAAGATAAAATCTCAGTTTAGTTTAATTAATTTGCAAATCATCCGCGGACAAGTGAACTTCAATGCCATGGTCCTTCAACAAACGAAGCAGCCAGCAGGTCCACAGAAACATTACGAGAAACCTCGTCGAACTCTGAGCAGGACGGCTGGTATCATTTCCATGTTACTCTCAACATAGGAACCGTCAAGAAGCAAGCAAGCTTATCTTCAGCCACCATCCTTCTGATATATTCAATTATTATTATTACATTTATTTTATTTAATAGTTTATTTAATTGTTTATTTATTTATTTAATTGTTTATTTAATTATTTATTTAGGTATGGTAACTTTTGTATTTATATTTAATTACTTCATTGCATTACTTATATCAGATAAAAGACTATAAAATATCTCGAGTCGTATTTATAAGCAATTGTACTTCTTCAGTATGTAAATATATAAAAAATATATAAAAAAGAACAGATAATTACATTCAGAAATAATAATTGTAGGTTGATGCAAAATGAATGAATACTGATTTACAAGAGGTTGATAATTGCGCGGCTGTGTGTGTGCTGCCAAGGAGAAATTGATGTAAAAATGATCATTTTTCACATTTGTTCAGCTTTTTGGTATGTGTGTGTATGCGTGTGTATGTGTATGTGTGTGTTTGTGTGTGTGTGTGTTTTGTGTGTGTTTGTGTGTGATGTGTGTGATGTTTGTGTGTGTGTTTATAAAAGTTCCTAATAAAAGCAATAACAAAACTTATCATACATATTTGGGTGAAAAAATAATTGAAAGAACAAATGGAGCAAAACAAGTCTTATGATAAATGGAATAGATAAGAAGAAATAATAATAATAATAATAATAATAATAATAATAATAATAATGTGCGAGCATATCTATGTTATTAATCATTTGTTCTGCTGCGTTATGTGCAGGCAGAGATATTCTATCTCGTTACGGTTTATATTAAGAAGTGAGTTTATGTGGGTGAACGAACAAAAATAACAATAAAATTAATAAAAAGTTAGTAAAACTTATTAATTTTTTATATTATTTTAGAATAGAACAACAATAAAAACACAGTTTTTCATTTTTTTTTGTCAATATGCTCTTTAAAAAACAGCGGAAAGTCTGTTGGAGCAAATGAATGGTCATTTACAATGTAGAAAAACTTCCACTAATACATCTGGAAACCGCAAAAAATTATAACTTACGGTTGTGCCGGAATATTGAAAGATCCATCAGGACATTATTATTCATTACTTTATGTTCAATTTTGATACAAAAATTGTACAATTTAAAAATCCACAATTTAAAAATTTTGAAAAAAATTCGGTAAAACAAGTTGACATATGAATACATATATACCTGAAAACATCAAATTACCGTACTCCTCCAACCGCCCGCCAAACACAAAACTTATAGGCAAATCATTAACAATGCGAGGATTGCATTGCAATGATAGGGAAAGTATGATATTTAGAGATGAAAGTGCTGAAAGATGGATGCTGATATTTGAGAATAAACAAATAAGGGAGTGAATACAATCCAATTGGATGTGTACTATTATTCCTGTTAGTTATATATATATATATATATATATATATGTGTATATATATATATATATATATATATATATATATATATATATATGTTTTATTCTTTTTCTTAATTCTTGTTATTGCATTCATATTGTTTTCATTCGTTAATAATTTATTAATTGGACTCGCATTTGAGGATGGTGATATAATAATTATCATTTGATGAGAATTATACATTTATTTTTATTTATATTTAAATTATTGTATCATTTTTATAAAATTATACAATAATTTTTATTTATTTTTTTTATTAATATATGATGATTTATTATTCCATGATGGTCATATAAACATCCAAACAAACACTATGTGCTGGCGTGTCTGCGTAGATTATGTGTTAATATCACCATCACATTCATACAAACATACATACATGTATGCACACTCATGCAATACCAAGAATTTTAGATACAATAAGATATTTGTATGTGAATATATATACATATACATACACACACACATATATATATATATATATATATATATATAAGAATGCGTGTGTGTATATATGTACATATATATATACATGCGTACACGCATCCAAGAACTTGCAGGTACACACAGGTACCTCTTTTTTACTTTTAAATTCATACGCAAACAAACATACATGCACACAAATACAAACATATATAAACATAAATATACACACACACACACACACATGTACAGTACATACACATACATAAACATAGATACACTACACACATACAAACATTTTGTGCTCTGACGCCATCGGATCATGCTTGAATTAATAATAATCACTCATCTAATTGGCTTGGCAGCGGTTCACCAATTGATACTTCTATAACTGCTTCGTAAATCCTGCCTCATCTGGTCCACGTATAAAAATGCAGCATTCTATTTTCAGACATAGACATCTACTCATTTTTCCGTCGGTCTAATTGTAAAATCATCATTTTTAATTTGTCGCTTTGTTAATTCAATCATGATTAGTATTTTCATTTTTCATTTTAATTTTTAATTGAAAATTTGTCCATCAAGTTTTTTGTAAAGATGTGATTGAAAATATTAACCGATTTTTGAAAGACTCGGTACTACCATCGCTTAAATGTTACTTGTTTTATTAATTTTAAAAATCATTGTTACAAAATAATAAAAAGAAGTATGTTTTTCAATTTAAAAACGGGAAAACATTTTTAAAAATTTTTCACGTGTGTTCGATTTGTTCCAACCCAACATCCTCAAGGTAATTAATTATAAGACTTTATGCCAACAACTGTATTTAATTAAACCACGTAACGTTTTAATTAATATTTGAACACGTTCAAGTCATACTAATAATGCATACACAGATGGATTTAATGTAAAAATGTGTTTTATCTTCAAAAAGTAAATCAGCGTAATGTCTTTCAACGCTTATGATGTTATGATTGACATTGCCGAATCATTTAAAAACAACCAACACAAAGGTTCGTGCTACAGTTTGTTACTTGCTCTTAAAAACTTGAAAAATCTTTCAAAATTCATTATATATATATAATAAATATATATATAATGAATATATATATATATATATATATATATATTTCTATAAAAATAATGTACACTGTAATATGTAAGTAAGAAGAATATACATTCACAATCAAAATATTCAAGAAAGCCAAAAAGCTGGAGATAAAGAAAGGAAGATGATATATTGGTTGAAGAAACATGTGCCTCTCACATCTCATCTTTCGCAAGGTCTAATTTTTTTTTTCATGCCTACATTCAAAATTTTTTTCCTTCAAGTAAGCTAGATGTTAATAAATTATCATCTTAATTAACTATTATCATAAACGAAGACGTTATTTAAACTAACATCACCATGTTACACATTGAGTCCATCGAATTGCAAATCAATTTTGAAACAATTAATTTTTTGAAAATTTTTATCTTTGAAATCATAGTAATAACCTAAGTGCAGAAGTGAGATTTTTTTGAGGTTCCTCATTCTGAGTCGGATATTTTCATCGGTCTCCGAAACTCTGGTCCTAACAGTCTTTTTATTAATCGCTTGAAATGTTGTTATGGGAAAGGATGGTGATGGTGAAGTTTTGATGGAAGCAACATTTCTCCTCACAACTCCTTGAAAAAAATTCATTTCGACTCTTTCAACCTGGTCGATTATTATTATTATTATTATTATTACTATCGTTATAATAATGCTTAATATTTTACTATTATTATTATTACTGAAACTAAAATTACTATTATTGTTGCTGTAATTATTATTATTTTTATTAGTAATTCATAATCGTTAAATGGAGTTAGGAGATATGAGTTGCAAAGACATAAGTTCCAACCTTACAAATTGTTAAGTTGGAAACAACTATTAGAAATAAATTACCATCAAATTACCTTACTATATTTCATTACGAAGATTTCACACATTTAAATGGCAAACTGAACATATGACATAATTCATATGTTTTATTATTCTAATCAGACGATCTTTTAACGATGATTCGGAATAGCGAAGTGAAACAATACAAGGATGAACATTTAATCGTGAAACAAGGAGAAGAAATAAATGGGTTTGTAGGGAACATTCCTGTAATTTGAGATCCATTGTTAACGATCACCAAACATTACATAAAATTGCATGAAATAATTTGATATCCAAAACATATATCCCAATTCAAACGGACAGAATGTTGATAGTTGTGAGCGGGCATGTTTCAATCTACAAGACCGATGTCAATTTCACCGAACTAGAAACAACTCAGCCGAACATTCCTTACATAAACCCAAAGAAAGAAGTTCGGCAGCAGCTGGGAACACTTGTGGAAACGCATGGTAATCATGTGTGTACAGTTCTAACCTTATGTTTTGCTACTTTAAATATCTAAATAGTGTAATATAAATGTCAAAGGCAAACACTAAGTGCGAAATGAGTATGCCTTGTTGACGCCTATGAAGCAAGTGCAGTTAAAGAGAATGATCTCTAAACTTTTTTCTATTTTGCTTACAAAAACTAATAAAATTAAAGATGAATATGTGAATAAACCGAAAAAAACAACTTCATATCGCAAGAAATTGTTATAGCTGGTAGGTCGGCTTAACGAGTGATGTTCAAAAAAAAAATTTTAATGACAAATTTATTTAAATGTTTTATGCGGTTACAAAATAAGTTTCAAATAATTTTCTAAACAGGTGAAGGCTTGACTATAGGGAGCACGTCGTTAACACGTGAACAAAGTTGGTCAGTTGTGTCGCTGATGACCGATTCAATTTGTGGTGTCATGTTCCTGTCACGAACTCTTTATAACGCTCTGCTGAAGGGACGCGTGCAACAGGACATTAAAGAAAAAATGCACTTTTATAATAATTTCATCCATTTTAAAAAATTTCCCGCTGAAAAATCCAATCAATTGAAAATGGCTTTAAAAAAGAACGTATATAATTTTGGTAACGTTATTCACAAGCAGAATTCAGCCGTTTCTGATGTGATGTTCATTGCAAGGTGTTGAAATCATAGTTTTTAAATTTATCAACACTAACGAGTTAAAAATAAAATTCAACTTTTATTAATATATAATGAATAATTATTTTTATAGAGGTGAAATTAAAATAGTTAAGTCTACTGGAACAAGGAAGAATGGTGAAAATTTAAGCAGCTTGTCTAATCGCGTTCCAAAATTAGTCCAGTAAGCAGAAGTTTGGTCTTAGTTTTTACTGAAATGGAAACTTGCATAAGATGAAAAGTGATCACTATAAATTATTAATGATCTCATTCACAGATTTGAACATCGCAAACTATTCTTAAAATCAATCCACACTGACATAACATTATTAAAGCAGAACGTATCTTTAGGCGAGTTCACTGAATATAAAAACATTTTTTAAATTAAATTAATTTTTAATTTTTTACTCACTCAGGATTAGTGGAGTACTTGATGAATAGTTGCGTGTATTGCAGCACAGCCATCTGTAATTCAAACAACACAATCGTCTACAGCCTCACTGTAAGCCAACTTTCTGAATTCATTCCTAATGGCTCGGTGATCATGAAAGAATTTTTACTGACGACCATATTAAGTTTGCAACAAACACTCCCGTTTTACACAAACAAAACATCAATAGACTTTTATAGTGACCAACTTTCTCGACTGTTGAAGATATCGTCACAAGCTCGTTTGAAAGAATTTTTTGACCTTGTCGATGACCAGGAAGAAAATCGGTTGACAGTTAAAAAAGGTGACCGCACGATGAACCATTTTTACAAAGCTTTCATTCCGGAACGTGGTTTTGTTGTAGATCAGAGCGGGCCAGGAACTGTTTTCAATTGGCTTAATATGAAAGAAAAAAAAATCCTGATTAAAAAATTTAAAAAGCAGCAAGAGGTCGAGATTGACAGCGGTTCAAAAATTAATATAAAATTAATTAACAAAAGCAAATGATGACGTTTGAACAAAATCATCTGTAATCATATGTTTCTGTTTTTGTTTACAAACGGTTTCATGATCATCTTCTAATTGTGCACTTTTGTTATTTGGGATTATAAAAATTTTAGTTGTTTGAAGAATATGTCGAACGTTAACTTGAGTTCCGAAGTCAATTATACGTTTCCAATTTTTAAAAAATTAACTGTTAACGAAATTATTAAAGACGTGAAAGCAATGAAGAAACAAATTTTATTTGCCACCTGCGTTCTGGTCGCTCTGACGTTGTTAAAGTCCTCAGACAAGGAATATATTATAATATACTTTATAGTAACTATCGCCTGGACTTTTTCCTGCATGCCTCTTCACATGATATGTTTCTTGACACCCTTCTTGTTGCACACCATCAATATCATATCGATGCCTGACTATTCTTTTGGATTTTTTACTACAAACACATTTGGAGTAGTAGTAGCAGCCATTTATAGTCAAGCCATATCAAACTGCCAACTAGCAAGAAGGTTTTGTTTGGATTTTCTTTCTGGCTATTCCATGTATCCACATAATATCCTATTAATCTTCCTTTGTGTGTGTAGCTTCATGTCTTCATGTTGTCCGGATTATTTTGTAGTCTTTCTTTTCCAGCCGTTCATTGAAAGCATGTTCGATGTGCTTTTCATACACGATCGAAGAAACTACTACGGAACGGATGTCAAAGGCATTATAACACTACAGCAAAATTTCGAGATGGCATTCCGGTTAGGCCTTTGTTTTGCAAGTGTTATGGGAAGCGTGAATTCATTTAACAGCTGCGAACAAGCTAAAATTTTTCTGGATTATATGATACGAACTCGTTTTAAAAAAAATTTTTATCTTTGGTATGCTGTTGCAGTTCCGTTAACATTTTGCAACATAGTGACACTTTGGTTAATATTAATGATCAGATTTGTGGGTCTCAACTTTACATTATCATGTGTTCGTATGACATTCAATGCTTTGATAAATTGTGCCAGATGTTCGCAAAAGTTAAAAGAAGACGAAAAGATATTTCACAAAAAACTTTACGCTTACAAAGTAAATATGGAAAAGTTATCCTGGTATGAGTCGATTATGATAGTCAATTTGGTAATTATTATATTGCTGGCTTTCACGCGAAAGTCAATGTTTTTCTATGGCTGGAGTGATTGGATAATAATGAAATGGTTCAAAATTATCAGTATGAGAGAACTCAAAGAAATTACATTCTCGTCTGTGGTATGCATTTCAAGTTTCATACTATTCATCATGCCCAGCAAACGACTTTACGTCACTCAAGATAGAAGGCCATCGCTCATTAGCTCAAATTATTTATTAAAGCCTACGATGCAATCAATCCTTGAATGGACCAAAGTTTGCCGTTCCATACCCTGGACAGCAATTCTCTATGTCGGAGCGTCGAACATACTTTTAATCGGGTATTACTATTCCAAAGTTTCTACGCCAATAGGAAAAGGTTTATCATACTTTTTGAATGGCATGCCAGAATTCGTTGTAAAATTAACCTTGTATTTTTTATCTATGAATTTGGCTGCTTTCAATTTGGATCAAACCGTTGCACACATCGTGTTACCATTTTCTTTGCATTTATCTCAGTCCAACAAACTTGATTTAACATGGACGATGATGTACACACTCCTTGGTACGAAATTTACATTTGTATCGCCGTTTTGCAGCATACCCTCTTTAATCATGTTCTCGACAACCAACGACCTCAAACGGATAGATTTTTTAAAAATTGGAGTGCCGCTTACCGTCGCCAGCGCCATAAATGCTATCGTAACATTGACCATAGTCGGATCACATTTTGAATCAACCTACGATCCAGAAATATTGACACTTTATGAATATAATTTCATATGATAATATCGATCCCCTAGTGTTTATGCACTTTTGAACATGTTTAATAGTGATTTATAAATGTAATTAATTATGCTGTAAATGTAGTTTCAATTATTACATAAGCTTATTGTAACATTTCTGATAGCAATAGTTTTGAAATTTAAATTTAGTTGCTAGGATACTCTAATAAATAAACTCGTTGCTTTGTGAAATTTTTTGACTTAAATTCAAACATTTTCGTTTAATTAATTACTAAAATATGACTAACAATTTGGTAGACTTAGACGAATTCGACGAAAAAAGAGAAAATTTGTTTGCTGTTTTTGAAGAAAAAAATTCTGTTTTTGGCAGAGTGCGTTGTTTCTTAAAAAATAATTTTAGATTTTTAGAAGGATTGTTAAATGAAAGAACAATATAATATCATAAAAAGGTATAATTTGTATTTTAATACAGAACACCATATATCAAAGAATTGTCATTTTATCAAAAATTAAAAAAGTTTCGGCTGAAAACGGGAACAACATTGGAAGTAATCGTTAATTGTGATCAGCTTTTAATGAAATTCAGAGCTTGTAATGTTAATTTTGTTAACCCGACTTCAGTGCAGTACGATAAATTTTTACGAGAAACAGCACAAAATTTGCAGACGGATCCAGCGACGGGATTTTTAATGATCCACAGAAGACATGTGGTGCACATCATCGAGGTAGAAAACGTGTTGATTCAATTATTTATTACTTATAGTTCAGAATTGTTCTATGTTAATAGATTTATAGTTATACCACGCATAGTTGATATTGTTGAATACTATACATTCAATATAATACAATACAATAAATACGTGCTATCAACATGGAGAGCTCTTTACTACCTGAAATATTTAAAAAAAAAATTAAATACTACATAAATCCATACCACCAAATTTGAACACGTTTTTCAGTTTGCTCACATAATTGATCATCTCAGGTCAACAATTCAATTGTGCATTAAAATGCTTACCACAGGCACCCATCAAGATAATAACACTTTACATGAGAGAAGTGGACAATGATAGCAAGGGACCAAATGCAAACTTCGAAGTCTCAAAAGTCTTGGTGCTGTGTAATGATATATCCTTTTATTTATTTTCAGATGGCAAGATTTGACCACTTATGATAACTCTTCATTAAGCATAAAAAACTAGATGAGATATTTTCAATAATCTTAAACGAAATGGGTTTCATCCAATTAACACAAAATTACATTGCTATCCAACATTACCCATTTTTTCAATGGCAATTGTTGGAGATTGAAGGAGTTGACTCAGACAATTTTCAGCCTGTTGATAAAGACGAGAAAATAGTTATTGATCTGCTAAAGCAACTTTTAGATATTGGCATGTACATCAACAAGACTCCAAAGCACTATGTTAAACAAGCATTTGAAACTCTTTTTGTGAAAAATACTGAATTCATACCATCTCAAGGTTATTACAATGTGTGCAAATGACTGCTAAACCTCACTGATACAATTAACCCAACCAGTCTAAAAATGAACGAACAGGGGTGATAAATTACCTACTGAATGAAGAGATAGACTGCATTTCAACTGTAGACGAAATGTTGAGACAGCTGGACACACCTTACGACACCACCATACCTTCTGGTAATTTTTGTCGTTTTTCACAATTCCCCAATACATTTTTTATATTTTATCCTTGCAGATTATGTTTGGCCTTTACCAAACAACACACAACTTTACAACTACCTGTTCCAATAGTATTGTTTTATAAAACAAAAACCATTAAACTTTTTGTTTTTCTTAATTTTTAAATTCAACAAGCAATAACAAAAACATTGCAAGAGATAGTTCACTGCTGTTAAATATTATAAATAAGATGGATTAATCTTCTTCTTCTTCAGCAGCAGCACCACTGTCTGGCTTCCTCTGGTTCTTTCTCTTAACGCGACCTGCACGATTGTTGAGTGTTCATGCGCATGAACAGCGGAACATAATTTATCAAAAATAACAATTGAATTGAGTAGCTATACAATGATGTCATCCAAAAATATGTAATTGAAAGCCAAAAATAATAATATAAAAAAATTAGTAGGTAGCAAAAATGACACAAACCAGGTCTGCCACCACCGTATGGTGACTTCAAAGAGAAATCAATGTGCTTCTGCGAATCCAAGCGCACAATAAATGAAGGGATGTTAACAACTTGCTTTCTGACTCTGTAATTCATGGATTAAAAATTAAGTCAATTAAAATAGTTGCACCATGGTGCTATACAGCTGCTTTTAAGCAATTTAAATTTTATAAACACATTTCCTACAGCAAGTTAGCCAGCAAACAATCAGAAGGAAGGCAGCAATGAATTTCAACATAAAATTATGAATATCCCCGCCGGGATACTATCATTGCTTCTTCATCACTTCGTTTGATTTACGAATTCACAATGAACAAATGAAATTAAAACTTCAGTTGACACGCAGACAATATTTCAACATTCTATATTATATTCAAGTTGATATCCTCTTTTCTTGCACTGAGAAGAATGGATGAGTGTAAATTTAGACTTGTCAAAAGTCAGCAAACATTGTTCAACAAATGTTCCCTAACGCCAACACTAAGCAACTCACAATTATCACTAAATATTATAAACTAAAGATTATTCATTATCTCGTATAAACATTTAATTTGCTATATTTTTATTGTTCAGCAATAGCTAAAAACACTTGCTAGATTTTCCCCTAAACTATTTGTCTATTAAATTAAATGATCAGAAGGAAGGCAGCAATGAATTTCAACATAAAATTATGAATATCCCCGCCGGGATACAATCATTGCTTATTCATCATTTCATTTTTTAATGACAAAATTTCAAATTAGAATTCCAAACAATTTAAACAACTCTAAGCCCAATTTCAATACAAGTTGTCTTATTTTCAATATTCTTGGTTAGATTTGCTTAATATTAAAGCTAGAATGAAATATATCAACCTTAACATAATTGTTTGTCCACTTTTATTTTAAAATATTCTTAAAATGTCATTAAAACAGATAAAATATAATTGATATAGTATTATTATATAATTGATATATTGTTATTAACATCTCGATTTTACATTATTCAAACAAAAGTTACTTTAACACACCTAATGTGTCTTTGTCTAATCAGAACTCTAGCATGATGAATACTTTTGGCAAGTCCCAGCTTGAAGACCTGTGTTTGAAGACGACGCTCCAAAAAATCTTCTAGTTTAAGACCCAAAACGTAATCCAACTTCATTTTGGATTCTTCCAATACACCAATACGAACCAGCCTACGTAACAAAGCATTTCCTAAAAGATTTGTGTTATTAATTATGTTATTAAGATAATGATTGACATAAAAATTTAAATATTAACTATTAAAATTAATTTCTTCAAAAATGGATAGGTTTCAAAATCTACATAACCATTTCATCATTTGAATGCCTTTTTTAATAAAAAATCCAATTAAATATAAATAAATAAAAAAAAAACAGAAGAGTATAAAATAAAACCTTCAAACAAACGCCTTGGATCTTTCTCATCCAATGTAAGCAGCTCTCTGGCGGCAGTTCTGATCTTCGTCAGTGCGTACTTGACCCTCCATACTTCACGCTTGTTTCTCAATCCAAATTCACCGATCAGTTTCAACTCCTGATCAAGTCGCTCCTTCTCATAAGGACGACGAGGAGTTGAGTATGTTTTACTCTGCACTAAAGCTATACGCGGCATTGTGCCAAAGATGGCCTAAGTGAATGAAAACAATGAAATACGTAAATTAAAAAAATAATATTTCCCAAACTTTGAAACACACAAACAAAATCTCAAACAAAACCACGCCACCGCAACTCACTTAGCAAAACCGGAAAAAGGACATTACCGACAACTAAAGGCACCAAGATAAATAAAAAATTGTAGCGCTTAGTAAGTGCTAATTTTTTAATCTTAACGAACAAAATTTAACTATATTATAATAGAGTCTTAGACAAGAATTGCTTTGCATCGTGTAATTTTATTATGTAGTGTTTGATATATATATTACCATTTGTTTAGTAAAAATTTAGACATGCATTTGGATATTGATTGCGAGTAATTTGGCCATTTTTAAATTATACAATCATATCAACATAAATATTGATTAAAATAGTGTGATTAATGATATATAACTATAAATGATATAATATGAATTATCTGGTATAAATGATACGATTATGATAAAAATGATATGTTATGAATGGCATATATAATATTAAATTCAAGGTTCTAATCCAGCCCATGGATATATATCCATGATCCAGCCTTCTGTTGTATTGTACAAGATCGTGTTTAGCAACACACAATAACACTTCCTTCGTTTCAACATATGTATTATATATTAAAATTTCGCTACCAAGTTTTACATTTTCACGTTCAGGAGATTGAATACTACAAGAATCTAATAAAAAACTACACGTCTAATTTACAAAATCACCACCTCGTTAAAAAAAACAAAAATCAAACTATAGTGTTTGTTCAGTAATACATGATGATTACACTTCAGTCGTATCAAGATGATATATATACGCCTATATATCAAAACTGTCTAGATTTCCGTTACCAAATTATACATTTTCATGCTCAGGAGTTTGAGTACTAAATGAATCTTAAAAAAAACTACATGTCTAATCAAAATCAGCGCCATAACCGAAAATCAAAAATTTAACTATACTGCAATTTCAGCAATACATAATGATAAATTTTTCGTGGTTCCAAGATATTACATACTGAAATTGGCCTAATTTTTGTTACCGAATTATATATTTTCATGCTCAGGAGATTGAATACTACATGAACCTTGTTTAAAAAAACTTACCAGCTTTCTTCGCTATCATGGGTATATATCCATGTTCGCTATATCTGCGTCACATTTCTAAAGTTGAAATTCGAACTAGAATGCTGTCTTAGCAACACATAATGATAACTATTCCGTCATTTCAAGATATTATATATCACAATCGTCGGAATTATAAGTATATGAGCTCCATATATTTTGATCTAATTATATAAACACTGAATAAATTAGCGAATTTATAGTTTTTGGTGACAGGAAGTCGGCATAAAATAAAATTCAAGATGGACTGTTGTCTAAGTGAAGAAGCGAAAGAGCAGAAAAGGATAAATCAGGAGATTGAGAAACAGTTACGCAAAGATAAAAGAGATGCCAGAAGAGAATTGAAGTTGCTTCTATTAGGTTTGTTTACACTTCCATAATTTTTTCCGTTTCACTGAAAAGTTTGTAGTTGCACATATGCCCCAGTCCAGTCCAACTATCCAGCCATCATCTCATCACATTATTTTTAAAAAAAAAACCTTTATTTACAGCTTTATTGATATTTTTAATTTATATTAATATTATATATTGTAACAAACGGTGTAGTCTTTATATGACGTAAATCAAATAAAATGCAATGAGTTGGAATATTTTAGTTATGTTAACATAAAAATAAAAATCAGAAAAAAGCATAACTGAACTCTAAATGACTAATTAAAAATCAATAATTAATTAAACCAAAAAAACTAGAGACAATACATCTAAGTAAAATAAGCAGAAAGTAAGAAAAGAGAACTAGGATTAAGGAAGTTGTATTATTTTTTGTTTTTTAATAATTAAGTATTTTATTTATTATTTTAAAATGAATGAGAGCCTTAAACATATAAAATAAACAAACAAGAAACAAACCAAACAGTGAGTTAACACTTGATTAAACTAACAGTTAAGCATGCAATTAATGAACAATTTGGAATTATTGTAAGTGTGATGAGATGTTGCTTAATAAATGTTCATCTATTTTTTTTAGTTTTTATAGAAACTATTTGCTCATTAATTAGTCACTAGTGCTTATCTAACATTAATGTTAGATTAGTTAAAATAAGTTAAAATTTTTTCAATTCCCCTAAATATTATTTATTCACATCATTAAAAATTAAAAATAAAATCAATGAATAGAATTCTTTTTTTTTTTAAATTTTGTAAATCCATGACTAGAAACTGAAGATTTTTGTTTGTTTATATTATAATTTATCCAAAGATTGTTTGATTTAATGCATAATTTTTTTAAATGATTGTAGGAACAGGAGAGTCAGGCAAGAGTACGTTCATTAAACAGATGAAAATTATTCATGGTAGTGGGTATTCTGATGAAGAGAAACGAAGTTTTACAAAACTTGTCTATCAGAATATTTTCATGGCTGTCAGTTCCATGGTTCGAGCCATGGAGACCCTTAGAATTCCATATAAAAATCATGAAAATGAAGTAAGTTTTGAACATTTTATTGATTCTGTGTCTGTACATATATTTGTCTTGTATACTTTTATTTATATTTATATGTTACCAAGTAACCTAATTATAAAGCTTGTTTTGGTTTAGTTATTTCATAATATATTTTCATGTTATTCTTCTTATCGACACTGTCTGTGACTATGACAAGCATACCTCTAGCAGTTCAGGTGTTTTATCGATTTAATGGTTTTTTGCATGTGTTGTTTAAGCCGGATAATGCTAATAAATGTATTACTTTTTATTATTTTTAAGAAATGCTTGTGTTTAAGGCTTATAAATTAAATAATATGTGTCTTAAATGTGAGAAATTAAATTTTCACAAATTTACATGAATCATTTCTAAAAATATGTTTTGCTGGATTATTTCTCCAGGAAAACTCAAAACTGTTGAAGCAAATTGATTATGAGAAAGTGACAACATTCGAAAAACCATACGTGGATGCAGTGAAGTCACTATGGAATGATTCAGGTATCCAGGAATGTTACGACAGGCGAAGAGAATATCAACTAACCGATTCTGCTAAATAGTCAGTCATTTATTGCTTTTATAACTCATTATGTACATTTTTTGTTTTGACAAGTGATTTGAAAGTTTCAAATGTACATTTATGGTTTATTTTCTGTTTCCATAGTTTATATTGGTTGTTATTTGGAAATTTTCCAGTTTTTCCATCTACAGTCCTTGGGACCAATGAATTTTTTAATTAAATGGATTTCTGAAAGCGCTGTATTTTTGCGTATTTGTTAATCAATACAATTTGAATTGATAACTTTTTATATGAAATAAGTTAAAATCTAATATTTTAAAACTGTTCATTAAAAAATGAAAGTTTTAAAAATTATATTTTTTTCTAGTTACCTGGATAACCTGGATACAATAGCCTCTCCTAACTATTTACCGACATTACAAGACATTTTGAGGGTGAGAGTGCCAACAACAGGCATTATTGAGTATCCTTTTGATCTGGATAGCATCATATTCAGGTTTTTCATTCTGTCATACTTTGAGATATTCTTTGGTACATATCTCTGCAATAGTTGTTTGACTCTTTAAACACCGTAGTGTAGATAGTTTATGTGTTGTCATCACTTGTTGCTGTTTCTAATAAACTGATAAATATCCTATGAAATTGTGGTACTGGTTGTTTTTGTGAACTCTCAAAAAATTTTTCGTGTAATTAGTATCTCTGCATATGTATTTCACAAATGAACTATATTTTATATCTATTTCCAATGTATCTTACTTTAAAAATGTTAACTATTTCCCATCAGGATGGTTGACGTAGGGGGCCAGAGGTCAGAGAGAAGGAAGTGGATTCATTGCTTTGAGAATGTCACATCCATCATGTTCCTAGTCGCCTTAAGTGAATATGATCAAGTACTGGTTGAGTCCGATAACGAAGTTAGATTTTTTTTTCACATTGAAGGTAGATTTTTTTGATTTGATTGCAATTAATTTATACGTAGTTTAGTCGTTTTTGTTTTTTGAAAAACGTCCTACCTTGGGAGAACTGGATCTCTGGATGCTAAACAAAGATTGATTGATTGATAGATTGATAGTTGTTTTTGAATGTTTTGTAGACGTTTATTATAAATGTATTTTTTAGGTACTTAATTAAAATTAAGGACATAACATGGAGAATGAGAAATTTTTTTTTCACCAATTATTTTTAGTTCTGTGCAGACTGAAAAATGGTAGCTAGTAGAAACTAGGAAGGCAAAACTTTATAACATATTTTAATGTCATTATAAATAACATTTCAATTCAATTTACAGAATTTTTTTTCCAAATTTTTTATAAAGATAACTTTTTTTTGGTTTGGCTTAAATTATTTTATGTTATTATATACAAAAAATGTACTTCTGTTAGCATATCAAATTTACTTGTAAATAATGTATCTTTCAAAATAAAAATTCAGAATCGCATGGAGGAGTCAAAGGCATTATTTCGAACAATCATCACATATCCCTGGTTTCACAACTCGTCAGTCATACTCTTCCTCAACAAGAAGGATCTTCTAGAAGAAAAGATCCTCTACTCCCATCTTGTTGATTACTTTCCTGAATTTGATGGTCATTATAATATATATTTGTATATATATATATATATATATATATATATATATATATATATATATATATACATGTTGTATAAACCAAGAAAGAACTGATAAGAAGGACAAATATATATATAAATAATCTGAGCATACATGAGATAAAGATTGCTCTGCTACATACAATAAACTTGCTTATCATTGAAATCAATATTTTATCTGATTTTATTATTTTGCTGACAAAAAAATATTTTTCCAATTGTTTTTTTTTGTTTATTTGTTACAATTTTCATCCTTAACAATGATGGTGATTGATGTTTAGCTTCTGAGTTATTATTCAAGTTCATTTTGTTTTTTTAATACAAAATTGTAATGATTGAAGTGAAGTGAGAATGCATTATTATGTTAAAATAAAGTGATTAAAGTTAAAAATGAATGATTGTATGAATGAATGATTGAATAAACTAATGCACTGCCTAACAACTGACCACAATAACATCAGGTCCTCAGAAGGATGCCCAATCAGCAAGAGAGTTCATATTGAAGATGTTTGTTGACCTCAACCCTGACCCAGATAAGATCATCTACTCCCATTTCACTTGCGCCACTGGTAAATTGGCTTCATGTATTTCATATTTGTTTATTAGTCTGAGGAGACTCATGCTACTAACTTACATGATTTTTAATTCTTTTTAATATTCAAACAAAACATCAAAAAATCAATCACGAGAGAAATAATTAGAAAGAAAATTTTTGTCAGAAAACAATTTAATAGGGAACAAACTTCAATTGTTGTTTTATGACCTCTTTATGACCTCTTTTGGCTGCTTGTGATTAAGTGTAGTTTGTTACAGCGTTTTTTGCTTCTAGTCTATTCGTGCTTGCTTGCAGGATCTTTGAAGGTCCACTCCTAGCCTATGATAAAAATGGGCCACACATTGGGTCCATTTTATAATCATAGATACCCTCATATATGCAGTTTTGTTTGTCTGAATCTCTTGTTGTTTTTCAACATTTCATATGCTCCTTTGCTAATTTAATGTTGATGATATACTTTATCTATTTGTAAATTACGAACATTAAAATTATTCATAATAACAAATCTATATTACTCATGATAACTTGAACAAACCTTTACAGACACGGAGAACATAAGATTTGTCTTTGCGGCTGTTAAGGATACTATTCTTCAGCTGAATCTTAAAGAATATAATCTGGTCTGATGTCCTACTCTCTACTGCTCTCTATTTATTTATTCATTTTGTTTGTACATCATTATGTGCGATGTCATTTCTATTATTATTGTTAATATTATGTTATTATAGTCATTTTAACAAATTGTTTATACCATTACGTGCTAACGTTGTTTTTATAATATTGTTATTACTATTAAATGATTATTATTTGTTACCATGTTATTGTTAATTATCATTTTATTATTTATTTTAATTTTGCAAGGCATCATAGTAACCATAATTATAGCCATTACCAAACAGCAGACAGTTCCCATACTTCAAGGCATAAATAGTTACATTGGTTATCGACCACACTCATCGTCTTTATTATAATCATCCTACATCATGGCCAACCATCATCATTAGCATCATCATTTTTGTCGTCTTTACTATTGCCAACGTCAGCGCTGAAGTTATTAAAAAAATTTTTATTGCCGTTTTCCAAATCAACATATATTGTTCAAAAACTTTACAGCACAATATTGGTTGCAGTATGTTTGTATATTATAACTTAATGTGTTTGTGGATTGCATACTATATGTATGCATATATATATATATATATATAGGATTAAGATTGTCAGAAATGTAATTATTGATGAAAATCATAGCATGCTCCGCGTTGGTTAGCTTCCTATTTAATTTTTCGATTCTACCGAATAAATGCATTTCTGTTCTATCATGCTTAAAATTTATTAAAATTTTGGTTTTGAACTCAAAAAACTTGACAATAATTCACGATCCACCGTTAGAAAAATCTAAAAATTATATAAGAAGCTAAATAACGCAGAACATGCTGTGATTTTCATTACGATTGCATATATATATATATATATACGCATATATACATATATATATATGTGTGTGTGTGTGTGTGTGTGTGTGTGTATGTTTATATACATGTTTATATGTTATGTCGGTATGTAGTTGAAATTGATTTCTAAATATTAAATTATGTACATATTCGTTTTTAATTTGAGCATTCTAATTTTTATTTATATTTTTAAACTTACGGCACTAAACGCACTCACACACACACACATATAGTTTTCTAACAAGGAACATTTTTATCAAAAATTGCATTTCTGACAGTCTTAATCCAATGTATATATATATATATACATCCTTTATATATATATATATATATATATATATATATATATATATATATATTAGAAAGAGACCATATTATATACAGTATTGTATGAATTCTATAGAATTGTTGGCATAAATTTGATTAATACCAACAATTCTGTAGATTTCATACAATACTGTATATATTGCATATATATAATATATATATATATATACTTTATGTATGAATAAATGTAATCCTATATGTAGACATGTACGTTTTTTTGTGTCGCTATAAATGTGTTCAAACAGATTCATATATGTTGTTACCTATATTTTATACTCCAATGGTGGTTATAAATGTGTAAATATATTTTTAATTTCATTTTATGCATTTACACACACACATAAATAAATAAATATATATATATATATATATATATATATATATATATATATATATATATATATATATATATATATGTACGTAAATATTTAATCTTATTTTATTTGTTCACAATGTTTCTTATGTATTGCAAACAGTTGATAAACAACGTTGAACCTCTAGTCTATACCGTCACATTAACGTTATCGTCATTTTCATCATCAACATCATCTTCACCATCACAAAATCGTCCTTATTATCACATCACCGTACACAATATTTTTTTTAATAATTTTTCCTCCAATTTAGAAGGCAACAACGAGCTGATACTGCAAAATATAATTTCCATATGTGGTATATATCATTCTTGCATGCTTTGTTGGTGTGTGTGTGTGTGTATTGAAGTGTTTATATGTTATAAATGTTTATCTATCCCTCGAGTTAGAGGCAAAACAAAACTTATAAATTTGTATATGTACCGTATGAACGTGTATATGTAGTATACGCAGACACATACATTTATGTTTTCCAAGGATCGCCGATATTCCTAATCTCGACATTGGGAATTATATTTTTTAGTACTCAATCCGATCATCGGAAGTAAGTTATTTTCTTAATTGATAACTTTTCTCCCGATAACTTCGGGAATTTTTCGATTTCGCTATCATTTTTATTCTTATTCCCGATAGCAATAGGTTGGTGCTGAATTTTTTATTCATCGATCTCGATGAACGTTTGGAGCGCTGGTTCATTCTAATGCGCGGTTTTAGTATTACTGAGATTTAGTGAAATGAGATTTGATGGTTGCGAGTCTTCGGATCAAGTTTCTGATTCGAGTATTTCTAATATTAATCTGTATTCCTTTTCGGGCGCCGGTTTAGTATTTCTGAGATTTTGAGAAGTGATATTTTACGGTTGTGTGTTTTCGGATCAAATTTCTGATATGAGTATTTTATTACGCTATTTAATAGCTACATAATCGAACTGGTTTTCAACTAGTTAAATTGAATTGAATTTTTAATTTTCATTTATTTATTTTGTTATCGTTAAACACTGGTCAGGAAATTAGGGGTGAATCTCAAACCCAAATGAATTTATAAGTTCAAAGTTGTTCATTCATTTAGTCTGGCTTGTTCTCTTCGCTTCTCTTCAATTAATATTTAATTTTTGCTTTCTAATGCAACAGAAAAGAGTTTTTGTTTTAAATTGTTTGTTTTTTTAGTTGAAACATTTGCTACAATTTATATTTTAAGTTGATGTATTTAATTTTTATTACTCGAATGAGAAGTTTTTTTTTATATATGAATATATCCTTTTTTATTGTTTTTTTTTAATTTTGAGTTTTATGTTTTTTTAGTTTTTTCCAGTTTAAAAAAAGTTTGGACTTGTACGTATATGTAACGTGGATTGGCGTGTGTGTTTGGCCTTTGTTTAAATGTTAATATCTTTCCTTACCTACCTACCTATTTATTACCCAACTATCCATTTGCCAAAATTATAACATGATCATCTTCATCAGTGGTCTTCAATTGGCAAGAGTAGTTTCACATCGTCTATGTCTCACGTGCGACTTCAGCTTAAGGATGAAGATGTCTAACTTTTTGTTCCGGTCCATGAAACGATGATAACGATTTACGATTAACGATCTCTCATTTGAGTCGTACTTTGCTGATTTTTAGTCATTGTGCTATTTTTCAGGTATCTTATTATTCAATTTTTAAGAGTACATCTTTTACGTTATTGTTGCTGTTTATATAATTTATTTAGTTAGTTTGTTGTGTTGTTCGAAATGATGAATGAACTAAAATTTTATTTTGTGAAATTTCATTTTGATTTGATCTAAACTCTCGGATCATGTCATTTGAAAACCATTCATCATCCATTCGTTATTTTTATTGATCCAATTTTGGCGAATGGAACTTTGTCGTTTATGAATGTTTGCTTTGCGTCGAATCTTTTTTAAAGATATTAGGTCTGCACATGACAACAATCCTTCAAAGCACCACTCCCCATCAGACTGAAGCACTGAATTTATTGAACGAGTCGTAACTTTTACTAAAAGTCACACTTCTTTGTATTACATTTTGTATTTTTTTTTCACAATGTGAGATTCTACTTAGAAACCAAAAACTCGATGTTCAATTAATTAATTATTTAAATCATTCATTCTTTGGCTTATTTTTTCATTTATTTATTATATGTTTTAATTATTATTCATCTTGTTTATTCATTCATTTATTCTTTCATTTATTGATAGATAGATAGATAGATAGATTGATTTGATTGATTGATTGATTGATTGATTGATTGATTGATTGATTGATTGATTGATTGATTGATTGATTGATTGATTGATTGATTGATTGATTGATTGATTGATTGATTGATTGATTGATTCTGTCATTCATTCTCTTAATTAGTCATTCGTCGTTTATATATTAACTCGAGTCATTGTTCACCGTTAACATGTCTGCTACTTATATTTGTTGAATGTTTTCAAGTCGAAAGATCTTGCGTGATTTACAAGTTTCTATCTTGAAGTGCTTCATTATTTATTTTGATAATTCATTCATGCATGTGATCGCCCTGCATCTGGATGATGAATACCTTACATCTTTTTGTTCTTATGTATCATGATTCAACGTTTTTTCGTTTATCCTAAGTAAATGTTGAGAGATGTACTAAATAAATTGGATACGTGTGTGGCTGCTCAAGGATTAAGTAACCTGCAACTGCTTCAATCTCAATCATCTTCTGCTTATGATATAGTATCACGTTAGATGATGATGTGATATCTGTCTCCATGTATCTCAATCTTTTCGTCACCACTGCTGATTATATTTGCTTTACCCATGATCTTGTTCCGTATATTGATTAGGGGAGGATCATAAAAACGGATTTTATATATATATATATATATATATATATATATATATATATATATATATATGGATAATTATATTTTTGCTAACACACACACACACATATATATATATATATATATATATATATATATATATATATATACATGCACACATGTGTGTTAGTATGTAGTATATATATAAAGTTTTCGTTTTAGAATATTTTACAAAATTAAATTTTCACTTGCTTTGAAGATGAAGGCATGAACTGCCGAGTTGGTGGCCTATCATTGGAATAGTCGTTAAACCGAACATTAATTTGAACTTTATCACGCCTGCACTCACGCTCGAGTATACACACGTATACATTTACATGTGTGTGTATGTGTATATGTGTGTGTGTAGTTTTAAATTTAAACCGAGAAGTTTTTCTGTGGAGAAAAATAAAAAACCGATCGAACATGATCAAGGATTGTCGTTGTTGTCTCCAGCTTGATTTTTCATATCCTTGTGGATTTGTTTTGCATTTGTTGGTGACGGTGATAAAGATGAGATAGTTCTGGGTTCAATGTGAAATATTTGTGTGAATTTTATTTGTTTATTGTTATAACTTAAAAGGCTAGGGTCAATCTATTTTGTAGTTCTCCCCATGTGTTTATCTTCTGCCATTTTTAGATGGTTGTGTCTGAGTATGTATCCATGTTTTATATTCATATACTTTGTTGCGGGGCGCTTGTTGGCGTTCACATCTTTGTTTATATTTCCGTCTGGACGATTTTAACTTGTTCATGTGTATAAACTGGCGTACATATATTAACGTATGTATGTGATGCGATGAACGATTCTATGTTTTGTATTTTCGTAAATAATGATTAGTGAGGAGATTGATATCGTTAATTTTTTCATCGATACTTGCTTGATTTTATGAAATTTTTAGCCGTCATTTAATTTGTAAATATTTTCAAAGGAAATATTTCTGATTTTTTTCATCATTTTTATTTCTTGAAATCATTTTGTTATTTATTCAATGTCCTATGTCTAATTATACGTTAAAAGTATTCTGTGTGTTTGGCGTAATTATTTTTATTTAAAACTCATTAATTCCAACGAATGTTTTGTTTGTTTATTCAAATTTTCTACCAAACATTTATTTGTTAGTGCATGTTCTATTAATTTCATTCATAACCTCTATCATGTACGCCATTTCAGTGGTTATTAAACTTTTCATTAAATAAACATACACACAGATAAATACGTACACATATACATATTTAGTATAAGTATGTACGTTTTGATTTGTATGACGCAGAAAGAAAAAAAAGTCAAGTAATTAATTAACGATTATTTTATATTCTGCTTTCTGTTTGTGAGATATGACAGCACTGAAAAGCAGCCTGTGTTTTGGCTGGTGTATTAATCAGACGAGCAAGACACAGGAAGCATTTACACAAGTTTAGTGATCTACCTGATTAATCCTATCTCTATATCCATATTGTTATGAACCGTACTTGGAAATGGTGTATATACCATTGTTTATGCATATATACATATATATATATATATGTATAATATGTATGTGTGTGTGTATAATTTATCTATTATATATATAATCTATATATATACATATATATATATATATATATATATATATATATATATTATTAATCTATTTATATTTAATATAATTGTTAGGTGTACGTATTTTGTCGTCAAAAATTGTTGTTTGCATTTTTCATTTATATTTTTTTCAAAGAATTGATTTTTGAACATTTGTTTTTCATTGATAGGTTTGGCATTGTAAATAGTTACGATACAAAAAATGCATTAGTTGTTCATGGTTCAATCGTGAAAGCTTTACAAATTACCATTTTCTCGTGTTTTCTAGTATCAATAATATTTATATTTCGACGTGAGCTTTATGTGCCGACGTTCTTCTTGTTTATTCATTTGATTATAATTTATTCCTAATTTGTTCATTGATTTATTTACAATTTAATGTTTCTTAATTACTTGGTCAAGTATTTCATTTTTAAACATACATGTACAAAACGTCGAATTCGTTTGTCGTTTTTGTTGTTCAACATCTACCGCAAAATTTTTTCTTATCTTCAGTTAAGTATCTTATCTACCATTTGTTATTTTTATCCGATTCGTAGTCGCCTCATGCGTTAATTTAATGCTCTTCAATTGATTCATGCTGCGTCTTAAAACGCTTAAATTGTTGCCGGTGTGTGTTTGGCTCTTCTTCATCTTCTCTGTCCAGTTATTTACCAACTCAATCGTGCGATTCATCAACCTAGGTGTGGTTTCAATCTATAACTGCTTTAACATTATAAGGGGTTTGCCGACAGTTCATTTTAGTTGTGCGCGGAGAATCGTGCTAATTTACAAATGTTGACAAATCAGAAATATGATTATTATATAAATGAGATGAGTGAAACATAACATTTATCGTTTAGCACGGCGTTGAATTTGCTCAAGGAGTTTGTTCAATATTACGAAATGTCTGTTTCAAAAATTTTCTTTTAAAATGTGAAATGGTTTAAAAGTTCCCGCTGCATGTTCAAGTAGACTTTTTATCAGTGCGGAACATTGTCATTTGTTGAATCACATTAAAACCTAATTTGGAGCTAGTCTATTCTTTAAAATCCTTATTTACATTTAATAAATATTTATTTGTATATTTATTGGTTGAAAGGAGGATGGTAAAATGGGAAAGACAAAAATATCAATCAAGTGTACCGCTGTCAGAAATTGTTAGTGAAATTTTTAAATTATAGAAACATGCTGGAGACGCGCATCTATTAGACTATCTAGATTGATCATTCAGAATATTCATCACTTGAACTGCTCACAATTTGTGTAAGGATCCGTGCGACCTTCGACTGCTTTGTAATTTGTTACATTTTCTTGAAAGGAGACTTGCATCTTTTCTGTGTTATTGGAATTTTCATTGAAAATATTATCATTCTTGTTTTTCTTATTTGTTGAGTTGTTACTGCAGTTCACTGGGGCGTTAATTGTTGACTCACCAGGCATGTTCGTGATTGCGAGAGTGAGAGATTCATTCGTAGGTTCTATCTTGTTATTTGTTGTTATCTCGTGAATTTTTGACTTGAAATGAATGTTTGGCGGTTGTGGAAGTTTGTCTGTCATCTCCTTGTTACTACAATCTTCTTCGTCAACACATTCCTGCAGCGTGTCAAGTTGCATCATGATCGTCTCAACTGATTTCTGACGTGTGAGCGGAATTTTTGCATTGTTTCTGTTGTTGGAGTTGAGATCTGTGATTGACGGAGTGGAAGAAATGGAAGAGAACGACATTGGTGATGAGATGCATTTTTTGACGGGTTTCTTATAAGCGTTCGTAAATGTATCACTACAAAAGGAACTTATAACAACATCATTTTCATGATCAACATCGGAATCCGGGTCAGAATATTCAGACTGCTGTTGCAGTAGTGCCAGCTGTTGTTGTTGAAACATAATGTTTTGCTTCAACTGTTGCATCATCGATTGTTTCTGACACTTCTTCGAAAGTTTCGGGAATGAATTGAAATCTTTAGCTTCGCTCATTTGTCTTGACAGAAGTTGGTGATGCATACATTGTTGAACGGACGCTGACTGACGTAACAAATGTTGCTGAGATGTTTCAGATTGATCCACTTGGTAAGTTTGTTCAGTGACCCAACTTTCTTGGCTGCTGAACTTGTTTAACGATGACAGCCGACTGTTCTTGCGACGAAGACGTGAACTGGCTGCATGTTTTTAAAAATGAACAACACACTTAATTTATTTAGAATGTTAACACTGTTATCAATAATAATTATTTTCAATAATCTTGTTAATATTAATACATTTTCGTTATAAATCACAGTCCAAAGTAGTTGGTTAATTAGTTTTGTCGAAATTTTCAAAACAAAACAGAGTTTTTAATCAATTATAAAATTTATTGAAAGTATCAACAAAAGATTTGTAAAGGAGGGAATAAACTTTCTGTGAAGAGAAATGAATGTTGAGAGTTTGAAAAGGTGCGTTACGTACGACGGCAAAGGCATGTACATTTATTCAAACAGCAACAAATAATAATTTCTTTAAGCCAATTTGTTATAAATGCCAACTAACGACATTGATTGCCGCTGGAGTTGAGACTCGGCTTGGGCACGTTCATTCCATTGGACCTCAAAATATCAAGAAGTTCGTATCTGAATGAAGAGAGGTCCTGCTTCAACTCGTTCACGTTGTCTTCAGTCACACCTTCCGATGTTTTCTTCTGACGCTTCATCACGTAGCGCTTTACGAGGTCGAATATAACTGACTGTAACCAAATGGGTGTGGGTTTGTGAAATTTAAAACCAGGTTTAAGATATAAAGAATAAGTTTATTTAAACAATTTAATCATATCCACAAAGCCGAGAGTATCAACAATTGTTTTAATAATATCAAAATAATTTCATGTTTCGATAACGAAAAAGACATCAGTTTATTTTAAGTCGTGCAAGAAATTATTTGAAATTTAAATTTTAAATATTATATGAACCGACCAACCGACCATTGTTCAGCAACCTCACTAAGCCTAAAATATAAAACGTACAAGCAGCCAATAGGAACTAATAAGCAAAGCCCAATTTTTATGCAGCTCACACACAATCACAAATGTATGATAGAAATGCACTCAAAAAAATAAATAAAGGATGACGAACATTTGAATGACTGAAAGCTATAAGACTGACCTGATACACAACGTCCCTCTCCTGCATCCTCTTCACCGCCCTCTAATTGCATGTTTCACGGCATTGAGTGATGGCAACGGTTTTATAAATGATATTCGAAGTTTATTATTAATATAAATTTGTGTACTATGAACATTGATCATTGTTATTTTAAATGCACATTCATGTCCGTACATTATAAAAGCATGCGACTTTGTATTTTTTATATTCACTTTGTATATAGTACAAGTTACGTTCTTACGCCTATATGCACTACTAAACAAACAATTATCATCAAACCGAAAGTAGCACGCAATATTTTACTGACTACAAACCTTCAAGCTGTGCCATTTGTTTGTCTTTGCTTTTGTGCTGAACCTGCAGAGCCGATCAAACATCCACTTTCCGAGGTACCAGAATGTTTTGGGAGTGGGAATGATGTTGAATGGGGTTGGCACCGTCCCACCCTCCTCAAAATAACTCATCCACAGTCGAGATCTTGCGAACTTCCATTCTGTGTCGGCGTCATCCTGAGTTACATGCAGTCAACGAAATTTACTTGAAGTTTTTCACTTTCCATATAACCGAACATCAATCAATGTCATGCTCTTAATGTGAAATGTTAAGCTCACGGAAATTTTCTGAAAGGAGCTGCTAAGCATGGCGATGAGCATGTTGATGAGGACGACAGTCATGATGCTCAGGTACGTTCCAAACATCAACTTCCCGACGAACTGGGTGAATATGTGTTTCTCTTTCAGTTCAAATTTGTTCAACTCCACCAGGCCATATATGGCAAAGTACAGGGTTTGAATTATTTCGAATAAGCTGTTGTGGCAAAATTTTGTTGTTAACGACATAACACTCAAAAACAAACATTGAATTTGTACTGAAATGAATAATCATGTTCATCGCTGACATGCAAAATTTATTTGAACGAATGCACGGTAAGTACTATTCATTGTTATTTTCATATAGAAATGTTTCATTAAATTACTTGGCGATGGATCGATCACACACCAAGTGGCAGTCCGGGATTGGTGTCGCCATTTTATCAACCACGCTGTTATTTGACCCCAAGACACTTTTGTTGATGTTTGCATTGAGGAGTGACGTAATGTTCACCTTGTTGGCCTCACAGACACTACACTCTCGACTCTTCACCTCGGCGTAGTACCAGTACAATTGATTAACTCCGCAAGAGTATGAGAAACAGACGAGAAGAGCTATGAAGAGAAATTTTAAAATGTCAATGACCATCCTGCCAAGAGATATTTGCAATGGTCCGAGATGAGGATTGACCGTGAAGATGTAAATAAGTTTGAGGCAACTGAAAATGTTGGCACTTGCAAAAAGACCCTCGGAGATGAGAGTGGGGTCGTAGGCGTCCCACGATTTGCGGTCAGCATAGGCAGATGGGTAGTTGTTTCGTTTCTCCTCTTCAACCTGCACGTTTGTTAATTTATTACCATCAGATGAATTAAACTATATATATATATATATATTTTGTCAAAGTGAGTTTGATCTTAAATGAACTTTACACCTTCATTGGTGGCTTTATGAGGGGAAAAAAAATCAAAGCTATAGTTCTCAATTATTACCACTAAACTATTGAATTGATGCTAATGAAAATGATGGCTATAGCATGAACATTTTCAAAAATAAGATATATACACCCAAATGCAACTATTTTCACGTTAAAAAAATTAAAAAATCACCTGCAGTTTATTAAATTAGCCACTTAATAAGACCATTGCTGACAATTAACAAAATTAACAACGAACTTTCAAATAGGCAACTAGTTTCAAAGTGTAAGTGGCAATGTAGAGGGAGTTGGTTGTGAAGTCGAGAATGTTCCACATGTCGTGCACATACGATTTTAAACCTTGGTCCCACAGCTGCTTTATTTCTGCCCAGACTAGGCCTTCTCGTTTAAGCGAAAAATTTTAAATTTAAACTTTAAATTGTTTGCTAAAACAAACAATTTAATGTTTAAAAAAGATTTCATTCACTCTTCTGTGATATTCAACAACAGAAATGAAAAATGTGAAAAGAAAGGTGACCAGCGACGTAAGCAAGGATCATCCACTCAATGCTGGTCGGAGGGGCGCCTCTGACCTCGCGAATCATCTTCGTGGATTTGTCGTCTGCTTCCTTGGCCAGGCTGATGATGGACTTGATCCTTTGTGAGGCCAGGATCAGTAAGCCTACGTTCGTTCGGAGTGAAATTGTTCGAGGGGTTACTTGGTTATTTAATTTCATCGTAATTGTGGCTGATATTTTTCCTTGGAAGGAATTATACTAAATCTTTTTTTTACTATATATCACATATATTTTAATTTATTTGTTTTATAAAACAAATTATTTTATACACTACAATTTTAACGAATGAATATAATACTATTAATACAACTACAACTACTACTCTACTAGTACTATTCTACTACTACTACTACTACTACTACTACTACTACTACTACTACTACTACTACTACTACTACAGTTGCTGCTCCTACAACTACCACTCCTACTACTGCTACTGATGCTGCTTTTGCTGCTATTACTACAACAACTACTACTTCTACTTGTACTAATAATAACAATTAATGATAATAATCGAACTGAGAAAAGTCATGTAAGAAGCACTGTGGCAGATGAACTTGATGAAAGGTCTGCGCATGAACTGTCCGGCCTGGCTCTTCGGAGAGATGATGTAGATGAGGGAGAGGATGGGAAACAACAAGCTGACGATTATCGTCAGTAGGACCTTCATTTTGGGAAATATTAATTTATCTACGGCTCACTATATTGTTATTATTATTATTTATTATACAGGTTTTACGAGAAATAATACAACTTATCCTAGAAATTTTACAAATTCTCCAAAATGCTTTACAACATTTCCAAAGCGTTTTACAACCATTTATAGTAATATTTACCGTAAAACCTGTAATTATTAATAATTAATTAATTAACAGAAGTGTCAACAAGACACATGGCACGTGTGGATATGCGTAAACCAATCTCTTCGCAATCGAACCTGGTTTCTGCAACATCTACACCAAGCGCCTTAACCAGTACGCCATACTACTACCTATGTTATTACAACTGTTTATCACACTTGAATGCACGTTGCAGTTTTTAATTTATCATGGAGGTAAGTTTCAACCAGAAACCAATGTTTGAAATTTTTTGCATGAATATTTCAATGATTCTTACTATTAGGATGTGTAAGTGTAGCATTAGCGTTAGTTCTCTTATTTAACTATTACTGCTACATCATTATAATTCTTATAATAATGTGACAGTGTGTGTTGAGTGAGATGAATTTTATGTTGTCAGGTGGGAAGGTGACCTTGAAGATGATGTGGCGTCTCCTGAAACCCAGCAGCCCCTCGTACCAGATGGACGCCAACAGCTGCTGGCAGTTTGCATGACTGACGAACTGCGTCGTGGAGATTAAGCAAGAAATGTGAAAAATTAAATTTACTAATTTTTTTTAAAAGTTTTATAATTTATATTGTTTTGAGTTTTTTTCTGATGTTCACACATTTTTAAATATTTCTCTTTAGTATGATATAAATTTTTTTTACTTTTTTTTGTTTGTATTTGATGGCCAGTTTGAGGCGAGCGAGAGCCATGCGGTCCCCGAAGTCCCTTACAGGTGCATACTTGTCGTAGTTAAGGAGGACCTCCAACTCCTTGGATCCTCGCACCTGGTCCAGTAGATCCACTGCGAAGTTCTGACACTGTTTCGCTAGTCCTTCGTATTCGATCTGGTTCAGTATTCGCAAATCAGTATTCGTATGAGAGACACATTGAAAATATCATCCAATTTTGTTGTTTTGTTGTTAATATTTTTATGATATTATTAAATATATAAATTCACATTTTAAAAAATAAAAAATAATGTTGGTTAGCCATAAATTACTTTTAATTCATTCTCAAGTTTGCTCAGTCTCCTTAGCTCCCAGCTCAACTCAAAGGCAGTCAGGATGGGGTCCTTGCTGGAGAGGGCGATGAGGGAGGGACTGGCTAGGGCTCTGTAGGCGTTGATCCTCGACATCGAGTGGTTCAAACTGTCCTCTGCCGTTTTCGTGACGCAGATGTCGCAACTGCATCTGATGTCGTGTGGCTTCGAGATGCTGTCGCCTCTGTTTCAGTTCAATAAATCGCTTTTGCAGACATTTAGTGATTGCGCGAGCAAAACGGTTCAGAAAAACATTTATCAATAAATTGAAATGCTCTGCGCTGATGAACTGACGAAATGTGAGAATTAAAAAAAATCAGATGAATGGACGAGTAGTAGATGAACTTGGAGCGAATTAGTTTCTATTTTAATGCAGCATAGAGTAATAACAGTATAAAAAAAGAAGATACAACGTGATTAATTTTATTTCAAAAATAACTTCAATGTAATTATTTTATTTTAAATAAAAAAAACAAAAATATATATTTTGTTTCATGTGATTTTGTTCATTAAAATATTTGAATTTATTGATGGATGAAGATTGATCCAACTAACTCTTTCTTCCTCCTATCTCATCTTTCTCTCTTTCTTTAACAATACACCACACGCAAACGCACGCACGCACACAGACGTACAGACGCGTATACGCAGCACTCACGCACATATATATTCAACATTCGTATTATGTTTTCATTTTCGTGTTTGTTGGAATTGATTTTTTAATAAAGATTTTTTTTATAAAAGTTGGATTAAATTGTTAATTAACGCAGGAAAGAAAGCAGACTCTGGGTGCTGCTAACTCGAGGAGCAAGCAATGCAAAACGTCCTTCGAAAAGGAATACAGAACAAACAAAATCCGGTCCACAATATGACAGAACGATTGCACAGACGGTCGTGGTGATAGAAACAAACATGCAAACAGCAGACAATTAGACAAACAAGGAGCAGACAAACAATGAAGCAACCGAACATTAATGAAAACAAACATGAAAATAAAAACAGAAAGGAAAATAGACAAACAAACAGACAAACAAACAGACAAACATAGAAACAATCAGACAAAGAAACAAACAAACAAACAGTCAGAGAGACAGACAAATAGACAAACAGCAGCCTACCTGTCTAAAAGGATTTTTGTTATTTCATAGTTGTCACGTTGAGCAGCCAAGATGATTGGAGTTATGTCGGGTGTGAAGCAGCTATTGTTGCCTGTTATGTCCTGTTGTTGTATGTTGTTGTATGTTGTTGTTGCTGTTGTATGTTGTTGTTTCTGTTGTTGCTGTTGTTGTTGTGTGTTGTTGTTGCTGCTGTTATTGCATGTTGTTGTTGTTGTTGTCAGGCGGATTATTATTGTATAAGTTTTTGTTTGTGTTTGAAAAATATTTTTTATCAATCGATTGATTTATTGATTAATTGATCGATCGCTCGAATGATGGATTGAATGATCAATCAATTGACTGACTGACTGACTGATTGATTGATTGATTGATTGATTGATTGATTGATTGATTGATTGATTGATTGATTGATTGATTGATTGATTGATTGATTGATTGATTGATTGATTGATTGATTGATTGATTGATTGATCGATCAGAACCTGCAGATTATCGTCTCCACCACTATCCATACTCGCCCATTTCTTCACAGTCAGCTTCCTCCATCTCGCTGTTATCTTCGTGGCTTTCTCCTATTGCAGGCATTCATCGTATAAAATGATTAGACGTGAAATATTTCACAAATGAAGTTTGAAATTAGAATTTTTAGAAATTTGCAAATTTGGTGAGATTAATAAAATTAAACAAACAGTAAAAACAAAAGATTGCACACAGACTTTGATGGCATTTTCAACGGTCTCGAGTACCTGCAAAGTCGTTAAACAAATAAACGAACGAACAAACGAACGAACAAACGAACGAACGAACAAACAAACAAACCAACAAACAGATAATTAGGTATAATCAACATTGGCATGCATTCGTTGGTTGTTAATATCTTTAGTTAATGTGGCTACGTTTTGTTAATTGTAACTTCGTTAAATAACGTTACACAAGGTGAGGTAAAAAATTTTTGGAATTTAAAAAGAAATTCTTCTACAAACATGTTTCTTTTTTAAATAACCTAATTACCTCAAACAGATAAACTGACAAACAGACCTCAGTTGATATTCATACAAAAATTTTGTCAAATTTAGCAATCACCGTAACGATTTCTTTTGTCGGGGGTGGCTTCAGCCCTTAACACCCCTGGCTTATTACTTAAAGTTGATATACGCCTGTAATGTTGTTACCTTAATGCGGTGAACATTTCAACTCTTGTTGAGACGGCTATAACTGTGGACATCACCTCGATGCACCAGCACGCGAAGGTCACTTAATTTATTTAAATGAAACTGGCTGTGCGGGCAATCAGATAAAAGAGAAAAAGAGAGACTGAGAGAAATAAAAAAGTAAGAAAGAGAGAAAGAAAAAAAGAAAGAAAAATAGAGATAACAAATGAAAATGAATAAAAGAGATGAACCGGATGGTAGAATTTTAAAAATGGAGTAAAAATGGAATTAAATAAAAAAAAAAAGAGTGGATGAGTTAGAAATGGAGAAATAAAATGAAAGAGATAAAAGGACGGTAAGAGAACGTGACTTGAGTTCCAACGTATGAAGCGATACTGAGAAAAAATTTCACAAAAAAAACAAATTTTCAAAAGTTTTTTTGACAAGATGAAAGTGAAATAATAACGTTAACATTCGCACTAAATAAACTCAATTATTTTAATTTAATTGCAGTGTAAGTGCTTGAGAATGCTGCTGTGGATTGGACAGTATACAGAAGGCATAAAATCTTCGTTACTATATCAAATCTTTGTTTGTACTTTATTTCATTTTATGGTAATAATAATGTTATTTATTAAAAAAATATTTTAAAAAATATGGTTTTTGTTAAGTTTTTAATTATTTTAAATCCTATTAATTTAAAAATCTAATATAATAATGATAATAATTAGCTAACAACGTCAGCAACAGTATTTATTAGTTAATTAATTTAATTTATTAACTAATTAAAAATAAGTAAACTAACAGGGGCAATCGAATGCTGGCTTTCCGTACTACTTGTCATTTGAAAGTTGCTGACGTTATTATTATCATCATTATCATTATTGTTGTTGTTGTTTTTGTTGTTCTTCTTATTAAATAGTGGTTGAACTTGTTTCTGCAGCTTCTTCTCGTGGTTGAGGATCATCTGTGTGGCCTCCACGTTGTCCTCATTGATCGCCTGTAGCAGCGAGTCGCCTAAACATTTTTTTTGGGTCGTTGTTACTATCTGTGTCTATTAAACAATCAGTTTTTTCATTAAAATTTAAATAATAATAATAACAATAACAACAACAACAACAACAACAATAATAATAAATGATAGTACCACCTAAATCGAGTCGTCCCTTCAAGAGAACATCGAGCATCTCAATGTTATCATACTCGATGGATATGGCCAGAGCCGTTCGGCCCAGCGCGTCCACGCAGTTGCTGTTGAAGTTCAACTGATTGGTTTTTGTTGTTGTTTTTGTTGTTATTACTATTATCGTTGTTGTTGTTAATGTTATTATTTGCAACTGTTGTTGTTGTTGTGTTTGTTACGGTGGTTGTTTTTGTTTATGTTGATGCGATTGTTGTTGTGGTGTGAGTTTGTCGTTATGGTATTGTTTGTGATGTTTTTGTTGTTGATGTTGTTGTTAATGTTGTTGATGTTGCTGTTGTTTATTGACAATACTGATGTTAGAGATTTGTTTCTTCAGCAAATTTTTGTTGAGAATGTTGTTGTGAATATTATTTCCATTATTATTTTTCTTTAGAATGTTGTAGCGGTTGATGCCCTAATGCTGATTAGGACGTAATCGATTGCTTGTTGTTGCTTTGTTGTTGCTTTGTTGTTGCTTTGTTGTTGTTTAGATTGTTTTGTTGTCGTTAAAGTAGTTGGTTGTTGTTGTTTAGGTTGTTGTTGAAAATAGTTGTTGTTTTTTGTATGCTGATTTTATTCATTTTTATTGCTATTGCTGTTATTAATGCCCGCGTTGTTATTTTAGCCAGGGTTAGTGCAGCTTATTGTCAGAATTAATGCTGTGCTAATCACTCATCATCACCGTTGCCACTGTCACGACTACTATCATAATCGTCATCATCACATCTATTATCGCTATCATCAATACTATCATCGTCATTGTTGTCATTAATAATGATAATTATCACCACCTTCACCACCATCATCATCACCACCACCATCATCACCACCATTATCATCACCACCACCATCATCACCACTACCATTATCATCACCACCACCATCATCACCACTACCATCATCATCACCACCACCATCATCACCATCATCATCATAATCATTATCACCATCATCATCATAATCATTATCACCATTATTATCACCGTCATCATCAATAACAAGTCATCGTTATAGCGTAGAATTTTTTTCTGCCATTATTATCATTAATCGATGTGTTGTTGTTATTATGCTGCTCTTGTGTTCTGTTGTAATGTTGTTGTTGTAATATTGTTGTGTCGTTGTTGTTGTCTCGTAATGCGAATGAATAGAAACCGTATGTATGATATGTTTGAGTGTTTGTGTATGCGCGTATTTTTTATGTATTTATTTGTACTGTATGTGTGTACGTGCAAAGTGCATAAATTAACAATACTAATCATGTGTTTGCGTCTGCTTATATGTATGTGCGCCTTTGCATATATTAAGTCTATGAAACAGCGATCCATATAACAATAATAGATTTATATTTATGAAGCAGCAATAACTGGACGCTCATACAAAATAATATGTTATAAAATCGGAGCGATGGTGTAATGGTTAAAGTGCTTGGCTTTGTTGACGCGTTGTCAAGGTTCAATTGCTATAGAGATCCCCGCTTATCACCTGCAAAAATGTGCGATGCATTGGTTCACGTGTATTTGTACACTGTGTGTTTGTTGTAATAATAATACTGCACCTCAGTCGCTTGCCATGGCGTTATATGAAGTGACTTTACTATTAAAATCAAAAGATTTAGTGATGTATAGAAAATGTGTACAAAGGTTAAACTACTTTGTTGGCGTTGTCGTTGAGAAGTTTCTGGACAGTTGGAATGTCACCCCTCTCGACAGCGTAGAGGAACTGTTTCTCGAGAGGTGTCAGGTCCACCTCCTTTCTGACCACACCCACTCCCAAACTGTTCCACTCACCATCTTCCGACATCATTCTTCTCAGGGATCTATCATTGTCTTGTAGAGATTTGCTTGTGGGAGTTTTGTTGTTTTTGCTGCCGTTGTTGTTGTTGTTGGAGGGGTTCATTTTTGGTAAGATAAAATGATTGACGTTTTATATTTCAATTGCGCTGTCGTCGTCCCAAAATAGATTTTGTTGTTGTTTTTGTTATTAGTGTTATTGTAGTTGTTGTTGTTATAGATGTTGTTGTTTTTCTCAATTTTGTAGACGTTTTGTTGATTTATAATCCATCTAGTTTTGTTGATTTTGCAGTTGTAGATTTTGTTAATGTTGATCTTGCATTTGTTGATGTTGTCGAGATTGTCGATGCTACTTTCGTAAATAGTTTGTCGATTTCGGCATTCAAATTTAACTAAATTTTACAAATATTGTAAAAAAATTAAAATTAAAAAAATCCCCAAAAATTCTTCTGCTTCCAAAATGTTTTAAATTGAATTGTTCGAACCGTGCATTAGTTGTGTGCTGTCAGCAACTGAGGCACGCATCCATAGTGCGGCTTGGCTCTCAACTGATTTAATGCCAGCAATTCTTGAGATTCAATTTCCTAAAAGTTTATTTTTTGTTTTTCCATTAAATATCTTGTTTATGTGCAAATTTTTTTAAAAATTAAATACATCGGAGTAAACAATTTTTGAACAATGAACGTTCATTTCTTTTCACCAGTTTAAAAGATTGTCAATCAGATAAATTGATACTCGCTTTCACTGTGTTATCCATTTCACCAGAGCATCATCAACATCATCTCATCGTAATTATTATCATCATTTGCAGCGCCGTCATCATCACTGCAATTACAATCATCATCAGCGTCATCATGAGCCTCATCATCATCGTTATCCTCACCATTACAGTCATCATCGTATCATCATCACCATCATCAGCTAACATCTATTCATAGTTTCTACAATAACATAACTTTGCAGCAGCAGCAAGAAGCAGTGACGAAACGACATGTCGTCTTAACTGGCAGCATAAATGATTAGTACGATTAGTAACAGTTACAAATTTTTCTATCAATTGTTAAATGCATTAACCACAACTTCAATAGCAAACGTTACATGAGGACCCTCAAAACGAAAATAATTAACGATAAAAACAACATATAGCCAACAATTAATGAAAATAATTAATAATAAAAAAAAACATGACCAACAATTAATGATGGAAATGTAAGTAACAAATCGTTAGAAAGAGCTTTGAAGGCACAATGTCTGCAAGTGAGAAGACAGATTTGCACGCATTAGCGAATGAGATGCAGGCAGTTGGAAGGAGCAGGTATAACCAACGCGCCAGTCCTCCTGATAAAAGATGGATAATCACAAGACCATTATGATGATGAGTGGATGATTTATAATGGTGATAATGAGGAGTGAATGATTTATAATGATGAGAAGGAGAAGGATGATGACGATGACGTAAGGCATTCAAACACGGCAACAAAAAATTGACAATCAAATTGTTCGTTTAACAGACGGGCAATGAGGTTTCAATATGTGCGGGTGCGTTACGGTCAGGTTGTTTTGAGTTGGTTCATGTTTGCCGCCTCATTTTAGAGTGATCGAGTAGGAAAATGATCATATGTAACATTTCCAAATGTTTTGTTCACAACTTTTATGATCAGATTTGAGTGGTGCAAATGTATAGTATAGATATTTGCATCACCATATTTGTGTGCAGGGGTAGGATAGTTGCATTCAAAATTAAAATTGCCATACATGCCATCCATTCATTCATCCTTACACGTTCGAAGTTAGAAGATTCATTCGCTTCTCACATGTTCACATAATTAAGGAAGTTGAATCTTGGGTTGTCTTCCATTTTTTATTCAACAAATAAAATCAAATTTAACATCACCTCTGCCACTTACTTATTACAACACCACCACTTTTAACAACAACAACAATAACAACAACAACAAAAACCACAACAACCACAACAACAACAACATCTCTAACAACGACAACAGCACAAAATATCACGCATCATAACCTCAGAAATATGCACAAACATTTTGAAAGCATCGAAATGAAGAGCCGCAAGCACGTTTCAAACAAGGGGCCTCCCTCCATCCATCCATTCATCCATCCGTCCGTCCGTCCGTCCATTTATCCATCCATCCATCTATCTATCCATCTATCCATCCATCTATCCATCTATTCATCCAATCTTTTGCCATTCCACTCGCTCAAATGAATTTACAATTCACAATTCCATTCAAGAGAAAGCCTGATGAATAGCAATATTGGGAAAATATGATTCATGAACACATATAATTCACTAAAAAAATATAAATATTTAAATATTTTTGTGTGCGTGATTTTAAGCTGCCGAAGATACCCGGCACTGATGTTGCAGTTACTGATTTCAAATGCAAAAGGATTCCCAGCCAACGTATGTGCTGTGTTGCATGGGGTAAACTGAACACACACCACACACACACACACACCACACACACACACCACACACACACACGCACATTTATGAATGCATGTTGTGTGACAAACATTCCTGCCTCACCAACCAAAATGAAATGTCCGTTGCTATTAGGCCCAGAACCCTTTTATATTCTGGAGTTTTTTCCATGCAATCAATGTTATATCATTATCATCATCATCGTTTCACTGCCATCATTATCATCCTCCTTCTCCTCCTCATCATCGTCGTCATCATCATCCTTTGCATCATCATCGAATCATAATCAGCACCGTCAACACTGTCACTTTTACGCTGCCATAGATCAATAGCATTGGTGGAGACGCTAATGAATAAAATGAAATAACATCAATATTCGTTAAAATTAATGCAAGCGCTAATGAAATGAACCTCACCACTGCTGTCGTCGTTGTACCACTAATCACATCACTACATCACTACATCAGAACATCGTATCACCATGCTGGTATAAATCATCAGAACTCATCTTCATACCATCACAATATAATTCATCATCACAAATTCACAATATAATTCATCATCGCGTTATAATTCATCATCACAATATAATTCATCATCACAATATAATTCATCATCACAATATAATTCATCATCGCATTATAATTCATCATCGCATTATAATTCATCATCGCATTATAATTCATCATCGCATTATAATTCATCATCACATTATTATTCATCATCCCATCACAAACCGTTACATTACATCACAACGTCCCATTTAACATATCGTCTCCAGCTTCGCGCCTTTCACAGTTTCACGTACAATGTGTGTGTGTGTGTGTGTGTGTGTGTATGTGTGTGTGTGTGTGTGTGTGTGTGTGTGTGTGTGTGTGTGTGTGTGTGTGTGTGTCCCGTTGAAACATTCATATTCATATACGCTGCACTTGCCTGTTTAAATTAAATTTTGTTCTAGAGACCAGCAAGTTAAAATAACTTCACAGGCCACCACTAATACGTGCCCAACTTGAAAACAACGATGCTTCTCATGGTATCATAATATACACTACGAAGACAAAATAAAAATAACTTATTGTCATTCTTCTTCAAAAATAAAAACTTCTTCCTAATTATTTTAAGTTAAATTATTCCACAACAAAACTCTCATTAAAAATATAGATGAAAAATATTGAAATTTAATCTTGAATCTCGAAAGTACTTTAGTATTTAGTACATTCTTTAGATTTTTAACAATACTTTTGATTTTGTAAAAATTGCTCATAGACCTTATTGCTTGTATTTTATAAATTTGATTTATTGTTAGTAATTTTCCTGTTTTATAACACGAAGCATCTCATATTACAGTTTTCATATTACTTAATATGAGATCGCTTACTTAGCGTAAAAAAGACATTATGTAACTTCATCATTTTATTATATAATTTCATTATAATATCATCATGACATCATCATGACGTTATCATGACGTCATTATGACGTTATCGTGACATCATCGTGACATCATCATGACATTATCGTGACATCGTTATGACATGACATCAAATGTAAATCCTAACATCATTATATTCCTCCTATCCATATTGATGTACCTCGTCCATGCAGATATGTTGCGCTTGCTTTTATATTTATATACGTGCCCTTACGAGTGCAAATTTTATACAAGTTATTATTTACACTTTCAAAATAAGTGTTTATTTTATTTACATTTGCCACTAATTTATTTATTTATTCATCTATTTATTTAATTATTTATTTATTTATTCTAAAATATTCTTCAACAATTCGCAAGTTGAAATTCAAAAAAGAATTCACAAACACCCGTCAAAAGATCACGGACCATGTAAACCATCACGAACTATATATATATATGTATATATATATATATATATATATATATATATATAAATATATATATATACACGCAAACTACTTTTGCATTGGGTCAGACTCACTTTAGCATATTGTTGTAACCTTTGACCTTCGTTACTACCAATACCAACGTTATAAACTTTAATGATTCCTATTTGCGACACCAGTGTTGTAGCTTCCAACGATCGTCAAGTTATCGTTATTCCGTAGGTTCAAGATTTCTGATAGATGAACACAAATGCTTAAAACGCAAACTTGTTTAAACGTTTATTCGAATGCCAACAGTAATAGAAACACTAAATCATTAATTAATCCAAGTAACTAGCTATTCGCCACACTCTATATAGCCTCTACGGTAGATTTTTACAATCCCCTGTGGTATGAAATGATTCTATGGTTTACAACCGATGGCAAATAGGAAAGATAACAAATATAAAGAGATAACAATAGTTAATTATGTAGTCTAATTTAACCATTCTAACAATATTATTATATTTATATTATACCATGGAGAACATAAATTAAGGTGTCTATGATTTATGTGAATATCGCCAGATGTGAATGAGACACCAATAATTAACGGTTTAAATGAAAACGTGCATTTATAACAAACAATGAAAAATCATTCTCAAGATAGTTTTTAATTTATGAGCTTTGATTTCATATGAACATTACAATATTCTTTT